TTTGCCCCTCGAATGTATTTTTCCATCATGAGATTTATCATGCAGCAAAATTAATTGGTGAGTGTCAGGGTGCATGTCTGCAAGTGTTCACTTTTCAAAATGCATACTTACATGATGGAAACTTAACATTGTATTCTGTTTATTGGGTTGCATTGACCTCAGAGTAGATAGTGAGTCTTTTAAGTGGCGATTATGTCGAACAGAGTTTTCCTTCTCTGTTGTAAGCAATAACCTACGAATGGCTTGGCAAATAGCACATCCACAAGCCTCCATTTAAAAACATTTTTTAAACATGGAGTAGACAATAATGGGTAGCTCAAGATGTATCCCAAATAACACTGTCAAAATGACATTGTGGTATAGGTCAGTGAATGATGGCACAGCTAATTGATATTAGAGCAAAGGATCAATAGAGTGCCACAGTCCTAAAACCCGGAAGTAAACTCCTTCCAGTTCCTTCGACAAAAACGCAATGCAATTTCTCCATAGGATTTTGAAACATTTCGAGCATTTTGGAAAATAGCTCGAAATAAGGTCTGTGGTTGACACACATTTAAGAGACGGGTATTTCGAGCTATTTTCCAAAATGCTCGAAATGTTTCAAAATCCTATGGAGAAATTGCATTGCGTTNTACTCAGGACTGTTTCCACTCAGACTTTAATACAGCTACACCATTGTTTGGTTTCCATGGTAGCGCGTGTCGTTAGTAGCGTGCGCAACTGAAAGTATGAGAGGGTGAGGAAGGTAGTCACAGAAAACAGAACAAAAATCGACAACTCAACCCTCTGCTCACTCCTTTCCTGCATAATACAGGACCAGCCCACACATATGCTCCATCAAGGATGGTGCTACAGGCCGCTTGGCAGTGCACTTACAAATACAATAAGAATGTTAATGTTAATCCAATACATAACCATAATAGTTGTCGATTTTTGTTCTGTTTTCTGTGACTATCTGCCTCACCCTCTCAGACTTTCAGTTGCGCGCGCTACTAAGGAGACGTGTTACCATGGAAACCAAACAATGGTGTAGCTGTATTAAAGTTCGAGTGGAAACAGTCCTGAGTAAATCAGATTTAGTCAGAAATCGGGAGAAACATGACCTCGGGAGGAAACCGGGAGAGGGCAATGAAATCGGGAGTGTCCCGCGAAAATCGGGAGGGTTGACAAGTATGGTTGCAGTAGAAAATTCAGCTGTAGCGCTGCCGCTGGTGCATTAATATGAAACCCTTAAAATTTGAGCACCCTCTATGAAACGTCAAGCTACCCCACAGCACCCCCTAGAGAAAATCTCTGGCGCCGCCACTGGCGGCAGAACACACTTGAAAGTGTGCGGGGGAGACGCCTGGACACGTCTACGAGCAGCAAACTTTCAACAAAGATCGCTAAATGGGTGGCTACAGCTTGCAGGCCAATTAACCTTGTGGAGGACGAGGGGCTGCGTGATATAATTTGGGTCGCATCCAACGACTGCACTTATGAATTGCTTTCCAGAGCCACCAGGGGCACCGTAAGGGGGTGAAAAGTTAGGACGATGCTAAGGGC